TGGGGTTGTTCAACCTGGAGAAGAGGAGGCTCAGGGGAGACCTCATCACTCTCTACAACTACCTGAAAGGAGGTTGCAACCAGGTGGGGGTTGGTCTCTTCTCCCAGGCAACTATCAGTAAGACAAGAGGGCATGGTCTTAAACTGCAGCAGAGGAGGTTTAGGTTGGATATTAGGAAGAAATTCTTTACAGAAAGGGTAATCAGGCATTGGAATGGGCTGCCCAGGGAAGTGGTGGCTTCTCCATCCCTGGAGGTTTTCAAGATGAGACTGGATGTGGCACTTAGTGCCATGGTCTAGTAACCATGGCAGTAGTGGATGAAGGGTTGAACTTGATGATGTCCGAGGTCCCTTCCAACCCAGATGATTCGCTGATTCTATGACTGTAGGAAGCATCAGCAATGTATTACAGGTATAGAAGTCAAGAGCTTTTCTTCCATGTGTCATTTATGTATTGCATTTATGTCCCAACTTTAAAATAAAAATATGCAAGCAGAGAGCATCCTTGGGTAATTATAGCAAAATAACACTAGCAGAAGATAATAGGCAGTCATTTTGTTGCAAAGACTAGAACAAATGAGTCCTAGATGATTACCTGTAAATAAAATATTTCTCATTAAAAGGTATTGGTGGAGAATCTTGGTCTCAGATATGTCACAGGAAAAAAATCCTATTAATTTCAGTGAATACAGGATTTTTTTTTTTTATGATTTCTTATTACAATAATTTAATAGCATCTCAAGAGATGTCAAGTCTTAAACCTAATTTGTCATCTTGTCTGCACTGTTTTTTTGTTTGCACTGCATTCTGGTATTCTTTGAAGTTAATTTTATTAAATGATATAAAATGCAAAAAACAGCCAAAGCAATCTATGAATAATAATTGGGTAAAGGATTTATATCTTATTGGTTGTTTTCAATTTTATGCATGTTACATACCATATTTGTTCAGAGATTGTCTTCTTACAGTGCATTTCCCAAAACATGGATTAATTATGTCAGATTTTCTGCAACCACACTGGGAGTATGGAAATTGTGAAGATGGTATTTTCAGTATATGCTACTACCTTGGTCCCCACTTTCTGGATTGGACTGTTTGCTGTTTTCACAAGTCCTGCTTTTACTTGTTGAATGAGAATTCACTTTTCGAGGCAATAAATAGTGCATATTGAGTTCTCGTCTTGGTCTTACATCAAGGCATCATAAGGTTGTGTGCCTCAACTTGAAAGGTGTCTCAGAGTCCTCATGAGTAGCTGATACCACCAGCTACAAAAGAAACTTTTTTAATTTGGTTGCATTTTGTGCTTTAAAAGGATTTGGCACCTGGTCCTCCTGTCAATTCTATTTTAGGGTATACCAAAATTTATTGCTTCCTAAAAATGCTATATATAGTCCTATAAAATTTTCTCAGTGATGCGTTATGCACAGTTACTGAGGATTATACAAGGAAAGTACTTGAAGAAAATCGGCTGCTTTTATGAGCTAAAAGAAGCCCTATCAGAATGTATTATAGAGTGTTGAGCTCAGTAACACTGTACCTTCAAACTAGTAAGTACTTCTGCTTATATTTTATAATTCATGAAAACTGATTTAGGAATAATTTATATGACACATATTTAGGTGTTTGGCAATTTATGAAAAGGCCGGTATGTTTTACAAATGTACTTAATACTTAGAAGTCAATATATATACATAAATATATTTGTACAAAATTATAACAACCTATGCTATCTCACTGAAGCAAGCATTCAACAAATGGTTCTAAGGAGCTGTGATATTCAAAAACATGAAGACAAGACTACAGTGACAGTGGAGTAGATCAGTGTTCCCAAGGGTTCCTATTCCTATTTAAAATTAGGATTCAGAACAATCACCATAGTGAGCACTGTGACGCTGAAGTCAGCCCACAGGTATATGAAAGATAACAACATGTGAAACTCTCTGTCTCGTGTGTTTTTGTCACTACTGTAGTTGCATATCTGTGTGAAACTGTGTGCTTAGGTGAGTGTGTCTGGTCTTTCCTTTCTTGCCTTGGCACTATGAAGCAACTATTGAAAAAGTATAGGTTTGGTCCCTGTTCACTGCTTATGCTTATGCATTTTGCAGTAATGAAAATGAAAAGAAGAAAAGAACCATGCTTAGAACATATGAAACCACAAGTGGAAGTAATCCAGCATCTCCAAGACACTGTACTTTGAGGGCAATGTGACTGCAGTCACAGCATTCTGCATCACCTTGTACATCTACTTTATCTACGAAATGTGCAGCTCTGGCTACACAGAGCAGCACTTCAGCTTCTTTGATAGGAGACATGAATTAAATGGGTCTTAATGGGCATATGCTTAACTAATTTACCCAGTTTTTGCCATCTAGTTTAAGTAGTTTAAGATAGTAGCTACACTTTCAATATAGTATGATATATTGGAGTAGAGACACATCCATAGTCTATTAGGGACGCATTCAGAGTCTATTAGAGAGAATCCTTAAACATCCTTAAACAAGGATGTAGGAACCGTTATTCAGAGATTGTCTAAAAGAAAGAAATAGCCAGGCTGACTAGCTTGAAATACTTTGCATTCCTGACTTGATAACTTAAAACTCACAACATTTCCCTACTCTTACTTTTGCAAAAAGAACCCTCCATCATGTGGACATCTTTGGGGGAAATTTGTTGAAGATCATTCAAAAGGAACAGATAATTCTTTCATGTGGGAATAATTTCATACCTTGTCAATAGCATTTTTACTCCTTACACTTTAGATGAAGAGTGTTTAATCATCTCTGCAAAGAAACTGTCAGTTCTAGGAGCTTGTTTTGCTATCTTGATGGTTGAAGTGAAGTTTTGTTGGGATTAATCCTCTCCCCGCTATAGGCCTGATTTTGCAGAGTAGTTAAGTAAGAGACATTGCTAAGTAGGAGTCTCCAAAACCAATGTTATGCATAAATTGAAGTGTGTTCCTGAGTCATGCCTGTGGTTTGGTGTGACTGTCATTCTCTTTCCTCTGAGTGGGAATGACGTGCATGGTAAAACTGTATGGAAATGTCAAAGTACCACAGTTCTATAGATCCTTCATCTTCATTCAAACTTAATCTGACTCGGAATAAGGCCAGGTACCCTGGGATTTTGCCTGCCCATCTAAGGGTCCTTGTTAATGCTGCATCTCTCTCCTGGCTTCTCCATATATCATCGGAGAAGAGAAAGATGATAGCTCATTTCTTCAATTATTTTCTCCTGAGATAAAGAGACAATCAATGCCCTTTACATTTCTCATAGCTTAAATAGATTTGCTGTTCCTGAAGAAAAGCAATGGTCTTGATCTTCTGACAAGATTTGTTGATTTACATAGATCTGTAAAAAAAAGAAGTTTACAAAGTAGGTAGGAATATAGCCACCTGAAAGATTTATTAGATTGCTTTGTTTTATCTTGAACTCACAATATAAGTAAACGTCATTTATCAAACAAGGTCAAAGGAATTGCACATGCCTAGAGATGAGGGAAGCTATTCTACTTTCTGTAGCACAGATTGGTGGAGTCAGGAGAACAGCATTTGAAATAAATATATTTTCTCCTAAATTGTCAAATCCCTTTAGTTTGTCTGAAACACGATGTCCTTAACTCTGTTTATGGCAGATGGGAGCTCACCTGTCACATGCACACAGAGAATGAAAGTGGTGCTGAGACTAGGTGTTTATTTTTATGTGGAAGGGGCAACTACATAGAGAGAATTTTGGCGAAAAATTCTAGCATTTGCTTTGTGTATTGTGCACAGTTAAGATGCTGTCCTTTTAGTCCTTTTAGTCCTTTTCAGGTTACTAAGACAAACATAGCAAACTTTATTTAGCTTGGTGCAGGTGAGAGATTTTTGTCAGTCATTAACATGAAAAGATGAACACACACTGAAGCAAAGAGGCCTGCATAGATTTAGGACAGTTAAAAATCTGACCTCCCTCAAATTCTTTTTAATTCTCAGTAGATACTAAATCTTTCATAGGTATAGACAAAGGGCACAGATGGAAGTGTCATCCTATGCCCCTGAGAGGAAATAATTTATGAACCCTTAGACAAAAGGGTTGCCTTAAGTTTCTGTGTTGTCCAGTGCCCGTGAAATTAATGTTTCCTCAAAGTAACTGCACAATGTGATATTTTATTCTAATTATTTGAAATAATTTTTATTCTAATTATGTGAAATACTACTGGAATTATAAAGAAAAATTTTAATGCCCAAAATACCTGAAGGGTGAGGGGATATCTTTAAATGAGTCTGAGAAGACTTATAAAGAAAAGTAGCACTTGTCCAATTTTAAGCAAAGTAATGGTTTTTTTCCTACATAAATCCACATTAAATATATTTTAAAAAGATGTTTTTCTAGACAGTTGTAAATTTTATTAACTGATTGTTTATTTTGTAGAGCAATCTGTCTTTTTTTCAACAAGACACAATGTAATTCATAATATAATTACTTGAAAGACCACTGATATGGTTAGAATTAATGATCTGCTCAAATTCCTCATTAAACTTTCATAAGTAAATGCTAAATATGTTCTCCTTACAGAGTTTGTTTCTAATTTGATTTGCCCTTTATGTTAATACTAGATTTTTCAATGTGGAAAGAAAAAGAGGGGATTTATATGTAAGGTCATCACTTCAGATGGAGATAGGGAACCCATGAATTGTCAGTGGAAAAAAATCTTTGGTTTTTGGCATGACAATGAATTTATAATCCTTCTCCTTTTTGATTAATCATAATAGATAAAGGAATTTCAGAGTAAATTTCACAAATTTAGTCTGACAGATGTGAATCAAATGCTGTCAAAGTATGATACATCTATATGATCAAAGGGATATCTGATCACAGAATACTACAATCATTTAATTATGTATCATAGAGAGGTTAAAATTCTCTTGGAATGAGATCAGCTATTTCTAATACAATTTGCAATGATAACTACATTGACTTGCTTGTGTATGATTTTTATGTTTTGGGTTTTTTTACCTTTAGGCTGTGCTTTGGAGGTACAAGTTTTCCCAGCTCAAAGGTTCTTCAGATGATGGGAAGAGCAAAATCAAGTTTTTGTTCCAAAACCAAGATACTAAACAAATTGAAGCAAAGGTAAAAACAATACCTTGTTTATATAAAGGCAATGTACAATTTTCAATGCAACCAGGGGAGAAAAGGAGTATAATAAACTAAGTTACTCCAAAATATTACATTAATGCACAAAGGATGCAAACAAAACCAAAGAAATTGAAGAACAACATTTTTCTAGTTTAAAGTCTTTTGAAAGGTGTAATTAGATTAAAAATTAATAAAATACAGGAGTCGTTATTTATGGTTTTAGGCATGATTGCAAAATCTCCTCTTTGTCATTTTGATAAAGCTAGCTGAGAGATTGAGTGCCTTATTCCCTTACAAGGCTGAAGCTTTGTCTGTGTCCAATGCAAAATCAGAAAAGTTGTGTTTTCAGTTGTGCTTTTGATTCAAGAGTTAGTTCATGGAAACAGTAGCTGTGAGAGATTTAGCCTTACTTCAATTTATGTCTTTTGAGAATAGGGCATTTACTGTCCCAGTGTGTGTGAGAAGTGATTTCCCTGGGTCTCTGATAATTGAAATTGCCTTGCAGTCTGGATCAATGTTCTCTTTGACTAGAACCCTAATTTTAGTGTAAACCTAAAGACTATTTTCTTGTCCATCTTTAACCTTTCTTATGAAGCATTTCCTACATCATTTTTCATGACCACATCAGACAGAAAATTGCTGACTGAATAGGATAATAATACAGTTCCATGAGCAAATAGGAAATAGTTAAATAAATTGAACAAAGGTGCTAAATATGTACAGTATAATAAAGTGTGTAAAGAAAAAATACATTGCTTTGTGACAATAGACACCTCTAACTTTAAATGCCAATAGCTACCTTAAGCAGCTATTTTTCCTTCCTCTATGTCTCTTTATGTTTGGTGTAAATTATTTTCTACCCAGCAGCTATTTACTTCATTTTGAATGTTTTACTCAATACAATGAGGGTATATAAAACCTCTCATTAAATCAACAACAATGAAATGTGGTGACCATGTCTTTCAATACATCCACATTCTGCTGCATCTCAAAGATAAATACTTTATTCTGATTCCTTCAGAAATTGTTTTAATAATATAGAACTTTTTTTCACCTATAAGAAGAAAATGCAAACTAATTTAATGTCATGAGGATGATTTTCTCTTAAGGAAACAATTGTACACTATTATCCTGCTGAAGGATGAAAGTCAAGTTATTCTTCTTCTAATATCTGTCTGCTATTGCTGTCATATTAACACAAGATTTTAGGATTGAAGAAACTTCATAGGAGTCTAAGAGTGGGACAGTGGTAGGTTTTTTGTTTGGTTTTCTTTGTTTGGTTTGGTTTTATTGTTGGTTTTTTTAAATTGGTAAAACTAGAATATATTTTTAATGCTGAATTAAATTTTTTAAAAGATTTCTAAAAAGTATGAAATCTAGATTTTGAAGAGGATAACCGTTTTCATGAAAATATTTTCCTGTTTTAAATTATATCTGTCATGTAAATCACTTTATAAGCCTTAGAGATATCCTGGTCTGGTACCTTTATTGTACCTATTGTTGTTCCCACTCAAATTGAATAGAGCTTTATTTCTAGAAAATTTTGCCTACCTTTTATCAAGGTTGAAATTCTACCTTCAACCTTATGAAGGCAGAATATTACACAGACTTACTAGCATGCTTATTAAAATGTTATCATGTTCCCTGGTTGTTTCTCTTTTCTATAAATATAAACTTTCACCTTAATCAATTTGGAAATAAAATTTGTTACTTTCATTTAATTTTCTTGGTGATGAAAGAATATCATCTATATTATGATCAAAGATGTCAGATTATATTCTCTTTGGAAGGTGCTATGGCATTTATAATGAGTACATCTATTGATTCCAATTTGTTTGCTTGTTAAGTGTGTTGCTTAGTCTAAGAAATGTAAATAAATGCGGCTGTAAAATGAATGCAAAGGTTTTGGGTTATATATTTTGAACATTCACTAGTTAGCTTAAAATTCTTCAGTAGCATTTATACCTTTCATGGATTTAAAGCCCTATGCGGCGTGAGGAGAGGTGGAAAAGTCTAGCCTCAATTTTTTTGACTTTGCATTACTAAGTTAGAGGTTTAGCTATTTGTGGAACTGTTGAGCCATTAGAAAATGTTAATCAGATTTTCAGAAATGCTTGTAATGCCAGATTTCATGCATACTGTATGCAGGCTTCATTAGGAATAAGACGATGGAATTTTTTAAAACATCTGTTAAAGGTTGTGATGAATATTCATGGCAACAGCTTTCATCACCTGTTAAATGCAGCTCTGTTTTTCAGAGGGCCTGGAGACTCACTGTTATAAGGGGAAATACAGTGCAACATTTTCCCTATGATTTTGGGTTTTTTCCAGTTATGTTATATTGGGAATAATCAGAATGTAGTGAAATGAGACCTCACAGTGGAGAAAAAACCCAAAAATTTAAGGGGCTATTGCACCAGTTTATTAGGGCTCTTCACTTCTGCATTCCCAAGCAGGAATCTGGAAGCAAGGTACCTTTCAAGGCACCTCAAATCCTGTGTACAGTTTTGGGCCCCCCACTGCAAGAAAGGTACTGAGGTGCTGGAGCAAGTTCAGAGAAGAGCAATAAAGCAGGTAAAGGGGCTGGAACACAAGTGTTATCAGGGCCACCAAAGGGAGCTGGGACTGTTTAGCCTGGAGGAAAGGAGGCTCAGGAGGGATTATATGGTACTCTACAACCTGAAATGAGGTTGTAACCAGGTGAGTGTCAGTCTGTTTACATGAGTAAAAAGCAATAGGTCAAGAACGGCCTCAATTTACACCAGGAGAGTTTCAGGTTGGATATCTGGTGGAATATACAGAGATATCACTGCCAATGTTAGAAGATCTAGGAAAAATACATTTTGGGAAAAAGTTCAGAACCACATCCATTCATCAGGTAGCTTTTTTATTTTGTTGAGAAACACACTTACCACCAGAGTTTATACTCCTAAGTGAAAGTGACTTCACTGACACTGAATTACTAATACTTTTATAATACCGTCAACATTTTTTGCAGTGTGCTTCATGCTGACTTAAAGAAATTCAAAATGGCTGGCTTTGAGACATACATGTGCTACAGATTTAGTTACAATTTAACTTTATTACCCGGTATACTTCTCGTCAGTTTTAAAATAATTTTAGATATTTAAACATTACAAATACTACCTTTTATTTTCTGTTAAAATTTTGTACTGATGCTTTTGTTTGGCTTCTCTCTAAGTTAAATCATGTTACTACAAAGATATATAATGTAGAATAAAAGAAGTGTTTCCTCATAGATTTAAACAGTTCCAGACTGAAAAATCTGAACAATAATTACCATAGGTCACACCAGTGGATCCATGGCTGGGTGCCTGGAAACAAACACCTGAGTTTGATGGTCTCTAAGGCAAAGTCTAAGTGGTTTCTGACAAGAAAACCACTTAAGGGCAACATTAATCACCAGTACCCCTTAGACATTCCAATCTGTAGGTTATTTCCCAGCTGTCACTCAGCAGGAGATATTGCATGAGTTTGCACAGTCAGACAGAATTTTTCTGAGTGAGAACTACAAAATAAAGCTGTCGGCTTGGCAGAACATGGAGTCAATGTGTCCCTGTATTTGTTCTTACTGAATTGTTGGGATGGGTTAAAAAAACCCAAGCACAGAAGGGCAAAGCTTTCTCTGCATCTATAAGGATTTCACTTAGGCACCTTCCTATGTAGTTATCTATCTGTTTAGCTAGGGGTTTAAGTGTAGTTTGATGATCCATTTTTTCTCCATAGTATCACAGAAGCCTCCAGAGACTAACACAATCTCAGGACTGTAATGAACTCAAGAGTGTTGTAATCTTCAATTTTACCTGACTAAATATTAGACCACTGCAGTAGAAAGTGCTTTATATTTCTTTGACAAAAAGGAAGAGTGCTTTAAATTAATGAGAGATATTATTTCAAGATAAAATGCTTCCAAACATAGAAGTATGTAATGTGTAGAAAAATTAGTGCTTTTCCTTATGTAATTTCTCCTTTGAAATTTCTAAGTAAGCACACCAAACTGTGAATTGAGAGTCTCTGTGCCTTGCAAAACATATGTATAACTCAAAAACTACACTTCAGTCTGTGCTTTCACCTCTCTCAAATCACAGCACAACAGTTCTGCCAGAAGAACTCAGTCAAGGTCACACAACTGTGCTGCATCAGGTGAGATTTTGTTCACAGACTACCTGAACTCCTAAGCTGAGCAGTACAAAACTGAACTGAATATAAAAATAATCTTATAAAGATGAAGGTCCAGTCAATTGTCTTTGTCTATTTTAATATGGAGAACTGAAGAGGGCAGAAATATGGTATCAGCAAAAGAAGTGTAACTTCGAGGATTAAGCATTAATCTTATTATTAATTAATAATACCTTAATAGTAATTAATGTTAATTAATTTGTATTTTAATTTGTCTAGTATAGAACTCTAACGTAAAATAGGGCAAATAGCCTGAGACATTGCTGCTCACATTACTGAGAACAAAATACTCACTTTGAACTGTTGCAAGGTGACTTGATGGGTGCTTGCACGATTTTCCAGGCTGACATTTCTGTTTAAGTGTATTCTCCAAATTGCAATTTTAAAGTAATCTTTGCTCTTAGCCTTGAGGGTTTTTCTGTGAGCATCACAGTGCTCTTCACATTTAGAATATCATCTTAAAAGGTACATCTTTTAAATGTACATCCTTAAGATTTTTACAGAATGATTGCTCAGTTGCAGACTGCATTTCTGAGCTCAGATTTCTGACCTTCGTTCGTTTGTGTGTTTCAATTTTTATTTTCCCCATGTCTTGCACATTAATTATTTGTTTAATATCTCTTTTTAGATCAGATTCTATGCTCATATAGAGACTATGTAACACCAAATTTGATGAAAGAACAAATATTTTCTCATATCAGCAGTTTAAATATGGATGAAAGAGAAGATTTTTTTCTAACCATATCATGGATACTTAGAAACAAAATTGCTTGTAGATATATCATTTATGTAGTTGCATCATTAATATAGTGCAATAAGAGATTGTTGTGTTTTGTTGGGTTTTTTTTTCGTTTGGGTAAACCCTTTTCTTGTTTCCTCTTTCCATCTCTTTCTTTCAATCCAGACTTTCTCTGTGAAAGGCTACTAGAATTTCCATACAATTCTGACCTTTCTCAATGACTGCATCTTTCTCATACACCTTTCAGCCCACTTACGTTGTCCCCAGCAGGAACTGTGAATGTTCAGGTTAATAATCTGGGAGTGTCTGCCATAATGACAGTAATATAGGGTGAGATTAGTTTAATCAACAGATAGTTTATAAAGATAGTTTCAAGACCAAAGTGTACACTGATATTCCTAGGAGAGTAGGGTCTTAGGTGAGGCATACAGACAACATTCTGGAAATTAGAATAATACTAAATTGTGTACTTTTGCGTGGACAAGTAGATGCGGCTCAAGTTAAGATTTCTTGCTTTTTGGGGGTTCAGAGAATTTTCTTTTCCCTACTGGTATCAATTTTAATGGCGTCACTGCATATTTTTTCAGGTTTCTTAGGGTTTGCCTATTTGTTTACTTGAAACATCATCTAAAGTAGGTGTGTAATATGCAATACCCTGCCTGAATGAAAGTGTGTTCAAATGAGAGGATGACTGAGGATGAAATATATACAAAAACAACCAGGGGTGGCTGGATATGCACAAAAGCCTCTGAGTTCCCCTCCATCTGCTGGCAGTAGCACCGACCTGTGGCCGGCCAGCATAAGGTGCAAGTTCTCAGTGGAAGTGAGGGCATGTTTTGTCTGTCAGCAGCTCTACATGAAATCTTATCTGTTCATTGAGCTTTCTTGTGATTAGGCTAATCTGCCAAAAAAGTGTTGTTCCTGATAGACCCTGTTCCCATCAATCAGGCTCCTGGGAACTGAGCTGCAGCCATTAATCAGACCTATATGTAGTCACCGCATACCAGCCAGTCTACTGTGCTTCACGTTTCTTTAATTTCCAGTCAAATATGCATATCTTCATTGAAATAGGAATAATGTTTTATGGTAAATAATAATCAAGCATTTGCTGAATTCTTAGCGCTGTTCTTTGCAATCAAGGTAATTTCCACGTTGTGTCATTTCTATCAATAATAGTAATCCAGTGGGACCTTCAGAGGCTGTTCAGTTGCTTCACCCATTTGCCTTGATGGTCCATTGAGCAATGAATATTCCTGACGTATTGCTGTTGCAGAAACCCCTGTGATAACTATTGGCAATTATTATAGTCATGCACTGTGAAAATTCAGTGTCCAGTAGCTGTAATTATGATAGTAAGAACTTTCAGCTAGTAGGGTTACCTAGTTAACTCAAACAATTCTCAAACTATAATATTTATTTTAATAGGCTTATTCTGTTGAGATATGGGAGTAAATGTAGTCTTTCTACATATAACACGTGCAATTGATATTACAAATATTTCACACTTCCACTAAATATTTATTGTCTCGTTTTAAGCTTCAGTTTTATTTTTATAATACTGATTAGATAAATTAATATATTAATAAAACTGAGTTAACTGAAAAGTAACTTAATGAAGGATAGTTGTTATTCTGAAATAGCTTCCATAATTCCTTGTTTCCTCATCTTTCAATTTCCGTTGTTTTCTTATCTATGATAAATTTTCTTGTTTTGAAATTTGAAGCAGAAAAGGTACCACTTTGACATAGTGATGAAATTGTCTTTCTCCCAAGGTTTAAAATTGAAAATGTCTCTAAACAGATTTTTTTTTTGTATGGACACAGATGGCAGGTTTGTGAAATTCAGCATAAACGTTATCTTCTTTATTGATAATTGATTGTCAGGGGAGTTTAAAGAAGCTCATGGGATGTTACAGATTTATTTCTGAGCATGCCTGAAGGACATCTGCCAGAGTTTTAAGAGAACTGAACAAAGCTTCACCTATTCAGCACATAACTAGACACACTGCACATGCAGCTTTCTGCTTTCACACTGTTGCCTCTCACACACATGGGGGATTTGTGAATGTCTCCATGTATTCCGTGAAGAAATATCTTTCAGAAAATATCAAGGGGAAGAAAATTGCAGGTTGATGTAATTTTGAGGGATTTAGCAATTTTTGTTGAATTTACATTATCAGTATTCTTCTAAGCAAAAGAGAAATACCTTCGGCACTACATAACCTGGAAATACTAGTGCTAGACAGAAACAGAAATAGAATATGCCAGAGATATCTATTATTGGCTTCTTATTGCAGTGAGGAAATCTGTATAGGCAGTGAATCAAAGCAGAAAGATAGCAACTGTGCACCACTATCCCTATACCTACATGTACTGAAGTACCTGTGTTTGCTTTCAGATGCAACAAGTATTTATTGATTAAATACCAACTCCAAGAAAACATACTGAAGATAACCTTAAAAAAAATGATCAAAGTTAATTAGACACAAAGGAGCAAATTTATGTATGTAAAAAATGTAGGTTTTTTTCCTCTGTAGCGGTGTCTAAAAGAGTCACAGCTAGTCTAATTGTATGCTGATGGGCTGTAAAGAAATGTAAATTAAGGTAGAAAAATAAGGACTTTGTATAATATTACTAATGAAGTTAAAACATAGAGTATGTTCCTTTTTTGGTCCAATAACACATCCAAAATTGATCCAAAAAATCACTGTATGATAGTAGCACTCTTTGAAATGTCTTTTTTTTTTTTTTTATAGAATCAGGTAAGATAATAACTAACACTGTGAGGTGACATGATGAACAAATGTAACATATGTGGAACTCAATGTTATTGATTTTTTGTGCGTACATTTGTTATCCAGTAGTAGTCCAGAGATGTGTAGACTGTTAGGGTGCAGCCATTAAATTTCTATCTAAATTAACCTGCAAAAGTATCAGATTTGCATTAACCTGGAGCAAGATTACATAGTATCACTTTCCTTTTCCTTCAGCCAGCAGGATCTTGTATTTGTATGGAGGCACTTAACTCATAAATTTGTCCGTCTTAGCCTCCAATTATTTACTGATTGTTACATGTTCAATATTTAAGTCCCTGTAATAGAGAATTGTAGGGCACATTAGTGAGATGGCAATAAGTTATTAAAATTATTGCTATTTGAGTAGCAGTTAATTCCTGGCTATGTGTTTGTGAGGTGTTCTTCTGTTTCATGTTTAATCTTTTTTGTTTTCACTTCCAGGAGCTGGAGTTTTCCAACCTGTTTGCAGTCCTTCACTGTATCCACTCATTCTTTGCAGCCAAAGTGGCTTGTTTGGACCCTTTGTATGTAGGCAGCCAAGCCACAGCTTCTGCTCTTCCCACAACTTCTGGTACTGGAAAATTAAAGTATACTACTTGACATCTCATATGACAGCACTGCCACTTAACAAGGACACATAACAATGTATAAATATTCATAAGATTTAGACCTTTGGTGAACCATGTACGTGGAAACCAATCCTGGAGGCAAGACATCTTGCAGCATCAGCAGATAAATGGTCACATGGGATCATAATTTCATCTCAGTTCTGCAAGACGTCAGTAAATAATACTAGTCGAAACCCCAGAATAGGATGGATATGCTTTTAGTATTATCTATTTGTACTTACATAGTACTTTAAACAACACTGGAAGCAAAGGAATAAATGATGAAATGAAGCACTTGAGTATTTAATAAAAATTTCAAATTGCTGTAATAATACACAAAAAGAATTGTCATTTTCCTGTTTTCAGATTTTTTTATGACAATATACTAAACTTTGAGTATGAATATAATGCCCTATCATTATATTATTAATGAGAGCAAGCAGCAAGCATATAATACATGGTGAAAAGGAGATAAGCATGAAAAGTCACTTGTGTAAGTATCTCCTCAAATAAGAAAGCACTTTAAGCACTGCTGTAAATCCATACTTGTGTCCATACATGGAATCATGCTACTTTTTCCATTTTGTTTTCTTAGTCTAACAGTAACAACAACAAAGATATAGCCATACTGGACTGATAAATTAAAACCAAACCAAAAAAAACCAAGCCACAAAAAGCAAAACACCTTTTCATTGGTAAGACCCTCTTCTTCAAGTAAAAATAATGGCATATGAATTTATTTTAATAACAAATTAAGTGCAAGTACAAAAAATATCGTCAGCTATTTACTTCCTCCTTTTTTTTTGTCAAGAATACTGTAAATCTAACAGTCTTTGTTCACAAGATTTTGAATTTGTTTCAGAGACAACCCACTTAATATGTTTCTTCCATGGTTAAACTTTGATTTCACGTCATAAGTAGGATGTCTGCTCCACTCAAGCTCTCAAGAAATAGACATTTTACATTATGCTTGGAAAATTAGTTCACTCATGAAATTCTTAATAATTTATATTTTATAGATCTACATTGTTAGTAAAAAACAGGAATAATTTAAATAAGCTGTAATGAATAGATTACAAAATGGATAATTTCTTTGTCTGTTAAGACCATTACATCAGTCTGGACCACGTACTAATTCAAGAGTATCATTTAAAGTTGAAATATGAGGGACTTGTAAATTTAAAATTAATAACTTTATTTAATTACAGTTTTGCAAAATAATTTAATGCTGTGCTGTGACACACATCAGTGAACATGGGGAAAAGGTGTGAGGATGTGTGTGATATAGTTGAAACAACAGAAAAGGTGAGGGATTTTTTCTTTTGATAAACAGGAAAGAGAACTAAAAAATACAGGAAGAACAGTTAGTGAGCTACAGTTTGGGCAAAACATTTTCAGTAGTATTTGTGGGTTTTCTGCTTATTATATTGTAATCAAAACTTCCTTTCTTCCCCCCCCCCCCGACTTGTTAATAGCAGGTATGGGCTAGGGACACTATCTGCCTTTTTTGGCAGACAGGCAAATTCTTTCGCATTCCTTTCTACGTATTAAGATAATTAAAACTTCAAAAGTGAGGCCAGAGAAAAGCTTATCAAAATGGGAACAATTCAAACTGCAAGGCAGGGGCAAAAGATTAACAAAATGTAGGTGCAAATCATGTCTCCGTTTTATTTTGCTTTGCATTAGAAGTATTTAGATTTACATATGTGGGAGTTACATTGCTTTGAAGTATAACTGATCTAACTTGATACTAGCTCCAAATAATCAAAAAATATATTTTTCTGAGGACTCTTTTATCACTTTCAAATGTTTTTCAGTACACATTTACTTCCTTTTGGTACACCTCCAAGGGCTACACATTTATTTTTAATTTTAAATATAGTAGAATGATGTCATAATCCAGCTATTAAATACTATAAGTGTCATCAAAATCCAACATTTTCATAGGCATCATCATGTATTTGTTCATATGAATTGTCCTTAAATAAGGGCATCACGTACTGGTCTCTGAGTGACAGATAGAACTACCATGGCTGTCCATAGGATCTTGAGTTTGCTCCTGGGAGAGTACAATCCCCAAATACTTTGAATCCAAAGCTGCAACAGTCTAAGAGGTTTAACAGTTGTGTCCTCGTCAAGAAAGCATATACTGGAAACACAGATCTTGGCAGAGTGCTGACAGTGCTGAAAACAGAAGTCTGATATCTGTTAATGTCAGTTCTCCTCCTCAGTGCTCCCAAATCATCTCCTCTCAGTGCATTGCTGTGGCATTCAGCTATCACAGTGTCGGCATACGCTAACACCTCAGTGCATGCTCTTCTGGCACTGGCAGAATCTAAAACTAGTCAGCTGCCAGTTGAATGTTTTTCCTTCAACTGTCCATGTTGTGTGCACTTTTGTACCACTGAAACTGAGAGGTATTTAAGAGATGTGCTTGAATGAGCATAACATTTACCCAAACCAGCACAAAGTATGTCATTGGAAATTTCTGTAGATGAAGGGATTCCATCATATGACAGCCCCCTCTACTAAAAAGAAAAATCAAAATAGTAAAAATTATCATTGTGCAGAATGGAACTAATGACAGGAACTTTTGGGACATCAGGGTGTCCTGAAGATCTCTGACAAGTATTCTTTTTGTAGAACCCCTGTATTCATCACTGAGACTTTTGCAAGGGGGCATTAAATACACAACATTTAAGAAACACATTAGCCTGTTAATTGATTTTCTTTTTGTTTTTCTAAAGAGGTCAACTGGCAGGACTTAATCAATACTTTATTTTCAGAAAGATAAAATTGATACTGAGAGAACATAAGACGTCATAGCCTTGACTGTAAGTCAGCATTTATTTTTTAATGCAGCAGGGGTTTGTGCAGTGACGTCACAGAATATTCAGAGGTACCTCTGCATCCAACCTGACCCTTGTAAAGCAAGTTGGTCGGAAATTCAGTCTTGAACCAAAGAGGGAAAGTTTAAACTCTGTGTTATAAGTAATCCTTAAATACCAAAACAAAATTTACAAACATATTAAAAGGCTACATTTTTTATTTAAATACCTACAAGAGGTTCCCATTCAAAGCATAGGGAACTTCATATGTATATGTCAAAACTCAGGCTTTATGTTGCAGCCTGTCATTTCACACTTAATATAAAATGAATTTCATAAGTACACACAGCCCAGAGACAATGAAAAAAACACAATTATGAGCCATCAACTTTTGGTAAAATATGAGTATGCAAGTGGAGGCAAATATTTTAAGAAGAAAGGGCAAACCAACCAACCCATAATATGTAATTTATTTTCTTTATGTCATGATACTGTCAAGTTAGTTTAATAAAGAAAATTCTTTATGGTACTGTGCCTATTGAAGTGATGTTATACACTATACCAAAAATACACTTGGTTTGCTTTGCTTTGCTTAGTGATGAGAATTTTAGATAATCTGATCTTCAAAGAACTAATCATATGATAAGTTATAGTGTTAGCATAATTTTATTAGGGAAGTGTTACTGGTTTGAATATATATTATTCTTGATTTCATCAGTAAATGAATACATTTCTTTTCCTAAATCTGTTTAAAAATACAGTTAGAGATTTTCAAAAGAGCTTTGCGTTCTAGTAGCATGAAGGCATCTTTGAAATAAAGATCAGCATATTTTTTAGCTGTTCACCATTTCATTATCTTAATTAAGTGCAGTAAGTTTGTGGAGACAAGCTAATTGTGTGTTATTTTTTAAAACCAGTAATTTTTTTTTTTTGCAATTCAAACTAGAATTTTTAAGAATGCAAATCAGTAATACACAGTATCAATTTGCTTTGAGATGAAAATCATCTCAAAATCATCTTATTTTCTGGATTAATCCTTGATTCTGCAAAAATATATTTATTTATTTTAGACATGTAGACTTTTCAGAACACCTCAAAGTGCACAATCAAACGTGTAGGTAGTTTTCAGCACTGCAACCTGCTACTTTAATTGTGATTTGGTTTATTCAATGCCTTAAGATGTTTCTTGAATCAGAAAAAAGTGTTAAAAAAGTTGAAGATCTCATGAATGTATAACAGTTTTCCTTAGAAAGTCAGACCAGTTTTCATTCTGCTTTGACTATTCCGAGGAAGCTTTTGGAAATTTTATTAATATTAAACACTAATCCTTGCATTTGATTTTCCATTTCTTTATGGGATCTGGTCTCTGAAAAAGTATAGTGTCTGAACAAACGTTTAAGCTGATTTTAAAATTTCTGTATCAGGGAATTATGAGTCTGTGCTTTGGACCCGCACCTCTGACCAGTTCAGTATGATGGGAAACATGAGAGACTCACTCAAGCTCCCAAAATTTAACTACTTGTCTTAGATGCCACTCAAGGCTCTCAAAAGGGAAACACAAAGCAGGACTGTAGCTTCAGATATCTGAAGGTGCACTTGTATGTCTCTGTCTCTCTCTCTCTCAGGAGCTAGAGGTGCTCCTATCCTAGTGCTTTAATTTTATCAGAAATATGTTTTTTTAATATGGGCTCTGCCTGCACCCACTCATTGTGCTATTCTTCATATCACAGAGTGGTCTTTAAGCACATGAACCGTTTTTATCAGGATGAAACTAAACAAGCATCACATCTATATAAGTTCCAGGTCCTAATGGGCTTTCAGACCATGCAGCCCAACTGAAATGAGTTCAGAGTAAAAAAACCCTCTGACACGCTAACAATGAGGCTGCCAGGTTCTGGTACCAGGCGCTTCTGTGTCTGTGGGGCTGCTGCTTGTGCACTGTGGGTGCTTGAAGGACCCTAAAAAGCTGAGCTTCCCAGTATAGCCCACCAGAGCTTAGTGCCTGAAGGGGGATGTTGTGCTGCGGCAAGGGGCAGAATGAAGCTGAAAAAGGCTGAGGTTGCCAAGGGCCAGTTATTCTGCATCATTTTCCCTCGCCACACTGGCTGCCAGCAGGCTACCCCATGCAGGTCAGCCTTCTCCCTGATGCATCTTTTTCCTGGTCTATCACATGCAAATACATACCTGAATATTTGCTATGAGGTCCCCAAGTGTACTTCCCTGTTTCCTCACCCCCGTCATTCAGACAGATGGAAAACTGTGCTCTCACCTACATAACGGAGCCGCTAACTCTTATACACAGTCAGGGGACAGTGTTAAGGATTATGGCAAGAGCATCTGTGTAGCAGCAAGAGTCCTTGAGTGTAATTAACATTCAGGTTATAACGAAGTCATATCTGTGCTTAAGTGCTTTCCTGACTTGGAGGGTTCTTAAGTGGAATTTTTGTATTTTCCTGGAATAAGTTCTATAATGTCAACACATTTCTACTTGCTTGGCTCAATTTTCAGGAAATTTGGTAGAGACAGTGGTTCACATCTTGTTGGAATAATAGAAAAAAACATTGGAATACTGGAATAAAAATAAATTTCTGTTCTGATTCTGTATATTATTACAGTACATTACGTAATCTATTAAAATATATTGAGCAATTTAAAACTAAATGCTTTCATTTACATTACCTAGTTTTACTACGGTATACGTGGCTTCCACTTTCAACAACTTTCTCCACAGGAATCCCAGCTATATATTATAGAAATTATTTTATTATTCAGTATATACTAATATATAATGTAGCGTGTGTGTATGTGTGCGTGTGTGTGTGTGTGTGTGTGTGTATATTAGTATATACTAACGGAAGATATTCAGTATATATTAATAAGAGTTACATATTAGGCACAACTATGAAACAGAAGCATAAATCCATGAAGCTTTACATTTAAAAACTTATAATACTATAAAGAAACATATGTATATTAGTTGAAGAAATGGCTATTTTTGCAGGATATGCACAGTCTGGGTATATGATAATAAATTGATAAACACTAACTAATTTACTATTTCATACCTCCAGGAACTTTTTTTTTTTAATTATTCTTATCCCTTTAGCATATTTGCAATATATATCATAAGTTTTAATTTGTTATGAATAAAAAATGACTGAAAAAATGTAATAGAAAGTGCTATATATTTTATAAATATTAGAAATTTAAGAAAAGCTATTCAAATTATTTATTTCATTTTTAGTTAAGGTTTTGTGATTGTTTGTAATATGTATTTGTGACAAGCATAAATCACCTAGTTGTTTAAGCTCATTAATGTATCACTAATAAAATGCTATCTTCTGTTTTGTTTTTGTTATGCTTCTTTTTGTAATGGAACATAACAGAAAAAATAGAAAATAAATACTTTTTTTAACTAACCTTTTGCATTCAGTCATACAGTGTATGAGTTTTATATCATTGAAAGCCAAGTCTGGGAAATCAAGGAAGTAGTTGGAGACCCTGGGGTAGAAAAGTTATATCCCAACACTATGCACAACTGGTTATTTGATAGAAATAATGACCATTCCTTACCTGTATGATCAAGGCATATAACCCACTTAAAGCTTGACTAGGATTTTGGAAATATCCACCTCTCTCCTAGCTATGAGGCTCACCTGCAGCCAGATTATTTTACCACACGACTGCCGGATTATTTGACCATTGACATTTAATTCTTAGTTTTGTTTGGAATTAACTTAGGTCCAATATTGCAGTGCATGAAGGCATTTTTGGTATATCTTTGAAACCAAACAGTTTTGAAATGATGCCGCATGTACTAGAACAAAACCAACTTTGATGAGTTTGATTTTCTTTGTCTTTTTCCCTGACTGAGGGAGGAGATGTTAAAAGAGGGGGAGTCCCTTCTTTTATTTAGGCACCTTTGTACGTTTTTAACAATCTGTGGTGAGTCAAGTGCACACCTTACAAGCGCATTTTTAGTGCCTTTCTTGTGCTACCAGTTTAGAGAAGCAAGGTAAGCTCCCTTATGGCAGTGCTGCTGTCACCTTTCTCTCTCAACCCCTCCACAAGCAGTCACTGAGGCTTTTTTGGACCTCAGGCTGGTGTTGCCTTCCTCAGTTCTGCACCCAAGGAAAGCTTCCTTTGTGATCCAAACCCTTTCAGCATCTTGAAGAGAAGGAAAAAAATATGAAGTTTATTGGAATCATAAGTGTGATGAACACTTTGTGTTGGAAAAATCCTCAGTCCTCGTTCCCAGATATGATTTGGCTCTTGTGGGTTAGCAAACACACATAACTCTGTAACATCAGTTAGTTACCTGCATTTCAAGTTTGTTTTTATACCACATTTAAGTGAAAGGCCAGAAAGAGGGGAAAAAAAGAGGAGAGAGGTCTTTAAAAAAAAAAAAAAGTGAAGAGAAACATAGAATATTACAAGACTAGGAATACCTTCTAAGTAAGTATAATCCAAATGCACAGAGATCCTGTTGTAGCTACCATTTTCATTTGCCGTTAAATAGGAACTATGTATTATATTGAGAATATGGACTCATAGAATGGAAAGGTTTATTTATTCTGGAATTACCTATCTTATTTTGAATTATTGTTTTTAATCTAGCATCTTTTATATCTTGTCCACAGATTTTGACCTCAAATGGAAAATCTTGTGCTCAAAATTTCTTAAGATACAGCCCTTG